AGTCTTCCTGGGTAAAGTGAATTCAATTGAAGACTTTTTTTTTTTTTTAATTGGGTGAAAAAGAATTAATGGGCACTTAGGGAAAGAGCCTATTTTTAGAGATGAATGTTACCCCAGTGTAAAATCACAGGATTGGGCAATCATAATAGGTTTGCCTTCTGAGCATTTCTTTGAATGAGTTTCATAACAGCAGAGACTTACTTGGAGAGTTAAGGTAACATCCATGAAAGGAAAGGAGATACGGTTAGGAACTCCAAATTGCTAGACTGAGTTATACACGATTATGTTGTTGTTGCTATTTAGAGTTTAGTTCCTTAGTTGTCAAACACCTTTATTCATTTATTGAAAAATAATTCCAGCATTCTGCATCTCCATTCCCATGTGCACTTTACTTTCACACTTGCTGGTAGGTCAGATGGTGTATTGTACTATATGATGCACAAGAGATTAGGGGCTCTGGAGCAGGAACTGCCTCTGTTCATTCTGCGCTCTGTTGGAAGCAGCACTTGGCTGTGCTGTCCCCTAACAAGGCACATTGTTAACTTACAGTATGGCTTTAGATGAAGGCCACATAAGCAAGAGCATGGGATGGGAAACTGTTACTCAAGTGCAGTGCCAGATTACACACTTGTGCATTATCCATTAGAAAACATAAGAATTGCCATTTACTGGGTCAGACCATATTCCATCTTGCCCAGTATCCTGTGTCTCACAGTGGTAGCGGATGCTGAAAGGGATAGTGAACGGGTATGACCAGGGTTTTTTCCACTGTTCCTATCACTTGCAGCCTCCAGCATTTAAGGTCTAGGAAGTTCTAATTTAGAGGCTATATCCCTAATTCCTATATTGCATATTTAGGTCAATTCTGCGAGTGGGAAGAGGCAGGCCATCCAATTGAGCAGAGCCCTGGTGATTTCTCTTTTAAAGGTGCTTGTTCAGTTGCTCAAGTCCAGCAGAGAAGTTGATTTGTCTATCCATATGTATGCCAGGTGTCCCTCAATTAAATAACACACAATGGCTCACCTTTACCCATTTAAATAATTGGTTTACAAGCCAGTACATACATGATACAAATTTTTGGCTGCTTTGAAGCCAAGGTATTTTTTGATTAACTAGGAGAGAGAAAGAAAACAACTGGTTCTCTTGCATTAGATTGCATCCTTTCACTGATCACTCCTAGAACACTACTCACCTCCTGTTAAGAGGAACAGATTATTTGTAAAATAATTGGAATAGAAGATTTTTAAAATAAAATCTTTGAAAATGTTCTTTTGGTATTTACTGTTGGTAATTGAGACTATTGAAAGATAATTTTCTATTCTGCTAGTGTTCTGAAATGCAATAACTGCCATGAATGTCAATACTGGGAGTTAAGCTTTGAAATTATACATCATGCTGCCAGTATCGTTGAATAATGGGTAAAATGATGGTTTATGTACATTTTACATTAGCAGATTTTAAGATAATAAGATGCATCTGTTTCTTTTCAGAAACATGAAAAGTGTGTCCTTAATTCACTAAAGAATGGCCTTGAACACTGATCAGAGAGATCTGATGTTGCAGATATGTTTTTGGTCAGAAAGAGTGAACTATCTGTTCATTGTTTAAATAAGAGTCAAAAGGCAATTTTCTAGAGGGAAGAACATACCAAAAGTGCAGCCTTTTATAGCAGCCTCAGAGCTTCCATACAGGTAACCAGGAATTGAATGATGACACTGAAAGAAACATTCTGTAAATTGGCACTTGTTGCTTCAGCTACCGGGCTCGTTATAGCTTTAATTTAGGAAAATGCTTAAGCATATGCTTTAATTTTAATGGGTCTTTTAAACAAATGGGACTTACGCATGTGTCTGAGTGTTTTCTCAAACAAGTTTAATTGATGCATTCTTGAACTGGTGTCCCAGTGAGTAGTTGCAGATCTTGATGCAGAAAACTGAATTTATGGGATAGAGAATAAAGCAGCACGTTGGTGAGAATGCCAGCAATGTGAGAGGGGGCTGTGCCATATGTTACCAGAGAAATCCCATGTATTACTTACCTATTGCCTTCGTTGTTGCATTGCTATTTAGAAAAAACGTGTCTAGAAGATCATAGCATATGTGGTTTGTGTGTGTGTGTATGTGTGTGTATGTATACGTCTGTGTGTATGTGTGCGTGCTGACATTTTAGTTGCAGTGGGAAGAATTTGGGGGCTGGCTGTGCATGCCTTCCGAATGCAAGCAGAAAGTCTGAATGAATTCTATTTTTATAGACAGCACTGTGGTTGCAGGTCCCAGTCGCACTGTATCTGCCTCTTCCAGGAATGTGAAATGGCAAGGGAAGAGAGTAGAAGGGTGGCGACCATGTGGTAGGGAGAGTACAACCCCACCAGCCCTGGATGGAGGAACATAAATAAAGATGCCTTTTAAAGTAATATTTTTTTAGTTCTAAATTGTTAAAAATATTTAAAACAAACTTTCTGTGTACTTGACGTTTGTGGTGCTGGTGCTTTGTATTGAATAGATGGACCTGTTCTGTATTTACCTCTCTTAAAGGTGTCATTGAGGCATATATAAAAAGTAAACAACAAAAAAAAAGAGTGCTGTGTAATGACAGTGATTTTTAATTTCTAGTGAAAATGTAGGCTCTTGTGTTTGTGTACTTTCTGGTTGGCTGTCATGAATTTCATCTTTTCTGCAATAAAGCTTAGATGCTTAATTGTAGAAGAAAGTAGTAGTATAGCAGATAACTCTTTAGGGGGGGAAAACTCTTAAATATTGTTGCCCTGTCCACTACTAAATTGTGCATCTTTATTTTTAAAATCAATTATCAAGTAGGCTCCAAATTTAGGTTTCAAGTTACGTTCACATAATGAAGTAAAGGTTGGGCTAAGTTAAAATTGTTTTTTGTTTTAAATAATTTCCTTGGAGGTAGGAAACTAAGAGTAAGCTATGTATGAAGTGATGAGGCAAGAGAATCAAGGTGAACGTGACTGGATGATGCACAGGATTTGAAAGAGAGCTGCCTCTCAAATGAAGTACAAAAAGGAGAGATGAAGAAAATATATTTTCTTAAGTCAGTAAATGATAGTAAGCTGAGAAGCTTGTACAGTGATAAGAATTTATCCTTAATATGTGGCCTGACTTTCAACGGATCCATTGTCAACTCAGATTTCTCTGGCTGGGAGAACGGGACAAAAGCAAATTGCTTCCAGTGTCAAGAATCTGTTATGAGTTTTCATGCATCTTTGTCTGTTTACATTTTTTTATAGGGCCTTTCCTGTAGGTGCCAGTGTCAAGGTCAGATTCTAGGGCCCCTTTTCAGATGTTGTGTATGCCTGGGATATGAATGAACTTAACAAGGACTGGAGATTTTGACCATAATAAGTAGTAGTATTTTTTGAGAGGGGGTAGGGGAGCAGTCTAGTCTCCTAATAATACTTAAGAGTGACTGTTTGCCAAAACTTAGGTAAGAACTTAGCCTTTTTTTTCTCTCTTGGGAATTTTCACTTATCTGTAGATGGAAAGAAATTGCTGCTGCTGCTTTGCAGGGATAGCAAAGAACTAAAAAAAATAAACACATTAGTCGGAATACTTTTTTTTGCAATACTATGCACATACCTGACTCTAATCAGAATCAGTAGGTACTATGTATATGTGAGGAGTTTTGAGCTCTTGAGGGACAACTATCAAAATCCAGTTACTTCTCTATCTGCACTACTCAGAAAGACAATTCTTCTGAGCTGGCAGATTAGATATGTAGCTTTGCTTTTTGTTTCAGTGACAAAATTTTAGGAAAAGGAGGGTCCAGTAAGATTGGGTTTGTCTTTCAATAGAGTGCCTAGGCTGTGCCTGAACAAAGTGGGGGAAGAGGTGGGAGGGTGGGTGGTTACATGTCAGATTATGTGCCCAATTTTCTCCTGAATTGGAATCCCACTAGGTTACTCACTTTTTTTGGTGCTGGATTTACTGATGAAATTCTGCCACTGGATTAAAAAGGGGGGATTTCCAGGGAGGTTAAATGGTGCCAATATACATAATTTATAGGTGCCTCTTTGTATATTTGGACAATTAAATATGAGGATAGAATTTTGCCCACCTTTTGGAAGATTTGGGCCTCAATCCTGCAAATAAGTCCTTAAACTTTTAACACACACACTGCTAGTTCCTTTTGCTGCCGTTTGGGCTACTCCTGCATTAAAGTTTAAGAAAACACGGTAGCGCTTGCTGGGATTTGGGCCTGAACAT